AAGCTCACAATATATACCCCGCAACAACTGTATTGCATTGCCCCTGGATTTCTGGATTATCTCCGCTTCCACAAGCACGAACACCGCCAATTTTAAGAATACTGACGGCAACAATGAAAAGCCGAAATTTCAATAGTGTTTAATGAAAAAAGTGAATTCTTACCGCGACACATTGACTTCACACCTAACTCGATTTTACAGCGGTTGTGATGAACATCCCGAATTTGCAACCGGGGTGGGTCAGGGGTTGATAGACTGGTGTAAGCCACGGACATGCTCATGTCACTCTCCATGCCGAACAAAGACATCCCAGTNGCCAGACCGTGTAACGGGTCCCTATTAAACTATGGCACGATATTTGAAGCGTAAACAGCTAAAAACCAGTCACAAACGGATCGGACACCAGAAAAAGATGAGGGGAGATTGATATCTACGAAATTTGTGGTGAGCACCAAGCTTGCTTGCAGATATATAGTATGGATTGCCTTAACAAGCAGCCGTCGAACCAAACTCACCATACTGCTTAGGGTGCCAGGTTATGATGCATATATTCATACATTGGAGAGGCACCTTATGACATCAAGGGCATCGAATGGACATCATGAAGCCGTTTTTCTGCCTGATATTGCCGTAATTCATTACTTGTATCCAATAAAATGCTGGTCATCATATTGTCACATCAAAACAATGGTGTGACCTGCATGCACTCCAGATTTGAACAGAAAACTTTCTTCGCCAAAAGGCGCACCAACATTCCGACCTTTACACCACAAAAAGTGAACGAGAGGCATCTTTAACAGAGTATAAGAGTGGCCTCATTGTGTACACTCCTTCGGGGGGAGGACGGGTACAATAATTTGCCGCGGGGTGTATACGAAGTATGTACGTGCATGATGGATAGGATGTGGGTCTATTTTGACGGATATACCTGACATAGACACCGATAAGAGTCACTATGCCAAGGTTTAGCACGGTAAGGGATGAAGCTAGGACGCGTCTACGTATTCTATTGATCGGGCTTATTATACGGTTTCCCAAGGCGAGGACGAATTGAAAAGGAATTCGGATACGAGCGTTTAGCGTGTATGTGACCTGCTGCGGAAACTGTACAGAGAGCAAGCGCACGATACAACTCACAGGAAATTGTGTCAGGGTCGAAGTCATAAGAGTTCTCGAAAAGGAGGAAAATAAAACAAAATAGTCTTTATATTGATCAAGGGAACGGCGTTAGAAAGTGAAAAGAATGTTACTACAAAGGTGACTTTACAACTGTGTCTGGGTCTCGCGAGCAAATGAAAGGTATCTAATCAGCCAGCTCCGAGCAACAAAAACTGTGGTTATCATGATAGAAACGGGACCGAGAGACGATTACACAACAATGGACAGGTGCTCACGGAGTGGGTGGTTAGTGGAGGATAAGTTGGTAATGATTCAGATCTATCCATCTGAAGCTGTTCACAAGAATGAAAAGTGAAGTATTTGTTACTAACGAGATCATTTGGTTTACATTAGTTCCTTTTCTTGAGAAAATACCGAGTATCAGAGGGATAAAGGAGCCTTATAGGCTGAAGTTGAGTTTACACTTAACGCTAGGAGCATCACAACTGCTGACTATTTCGTAATATCGACCTCGTCTTCAGTCTTGCGTTTTAAACTCCACCAGATCGGATGCGGGTTGAATTTAGCTTGCCAGAGTCACGTGCCTTTTTTTTAAGATTTAATTATGTTTAAGAATTGAACGGCATAAAAGTCCGGACCACCTCGTACGTGAGCGTTCAACCGATGGGACAAGGTTGGATGTATCAACAAAAACGCTCCGCTTGTCCGTTGGATTTGTCACTGATCCTAAATGAAAACAGGTCTAAATCTGCTGATTTTCATTCGTGTTCGTTTATCACGCATGGCTGAATGAAGTCAACTTATTCGGACGACTCTCCAGGCTGATCGCAATCTGTTGGATTGAACAGTACTGTGGAGGCTTTTGGAATGAAACCGCATCTTCTAAATATCACTCACCGATCCGTTTCGGA